ATAAAATAATTCTACCAGTGACTTTCTTGAAATGTCAGATCAGTCAATGAAAAAACAGGCCACAAAAAGCACATTTGACATGCATCATAAGCTAAATGAAATGAAATGAAATGAATGGAGTTTTACGTCCTACTTTTCTGCATCTTGTGGGCTAATGAAGACGGGCAATGCCATGCAGGGTGCCATGGGAAATTTTGCCAGGACAGCGGCATTAGCCTGCTCTTTTTCGATTTCCAACTGTCGAGGGATCTTTAACGTGCAAGCAAAGAGACTAAGAAAATTGAAATTTCAGAGCAAAATTTGAGTAAAATGCACATAATGAAAAAACCCATTGTATATAAATATCAAGAAACATAAAGTTTAGACGTTCCTGAGAACAAGCTTGAGATATATCAATAACATGGAGAATAAATTGACAGAAGCTACATCGATCTGTAGAGATTAATTCTCTCTCGCTAATCAATTTAGAAATGTAAATATTATAAATAGGATATAAAATACTGGCAATCAGTCATAACTTAATATTAACACTTAGACAACCATTGACTACCTGATTTTCTTATCAGTCTTAGTTTAATTAACCAACTTCATATGCATAAGATTCTAGAGCAGATGTATAAAGTCAAATAGTCAAAAGGGCATGACTAGGCTTCAATAACCATTGACTACCTGATTTTCTTATCAATCTCTTAGTTTAAATAACCAACAGATCTCAATTTGCATGATTAGACTTCATTGACAATTGTTTTTCTGTTTAATTTACCAAAGATATTAATCTGCATGAAATTCTGGAGTGGATATGAGAAGTCTGATAGGGCATGCTAACCTTTCTACAACTATTAACTACCTAGATTACATATCAATTGTTTAGTTTTAGATTTACCCTGATCAGATCAGCTTGCCCCACCTCCTGGAAAACCTGCTGTTCTATTTCTGATATTTATTTGACAGACATCTCCAGTTGACTTGAATCGAGTTTTATGTCCTACTCTTCTGCACCTAAGAGTAGGTTAATGAAGACAGGCAACGTCAGGACAGTGGCATAAAGCTAGTCTTTCAGTTTCCAACTGTTGAGAGTGTTATGAGCATGTGATGTAATATGAATATTAAGTATGTCATGAATATTTAGTAGCCTGCACGTGCATGCTTGGCGTGCGGGACTGTTGTAGCGTCACTTCATGTGTGGCCGCCATGATGTGTGGACGTGTTCTACTGGAATAAGTATATGAACAATAATGTGTTGTATATCACTTAAACAGAGAGGGGTCTTAACAGAGAGGGGTCTTTAAAGTGCACAGTCTGTAGCAGATTGTTGTCCCATCCCTATCATCTATTGGAACCAGTAGATAGTGTTAGAGTTTCTCAGACTGGAAACATCATGGTTCTAGGTGAAACAGGCCCTGGGACTATTCCTTTCAATAGTCATCCTTGTGACAAGATTACCAAATTCAATCACCAATCATAGAAAACAAGATCGTCACGAATGTTATTTTCACATTCTTTAATCCACATCTTCATTTTTATACACCCACATGAAATGGGGAGGGAGGGGGGCATATATTGTTGTCACCCATGATAGATTGCCAAAATTGAATTTAAATTAACTCTTCTCTTCGAAATATTTTTTTCAACTTGCCATATTTCATAATATCCATCTTCTTATGATATTGCCTAACATTTTTTACATTGTTTTTTTTTAAATTTGTTCTGACACAAAGATCCCAAGGGGAATTTCTTTTCTGCTAATTTCAGATTATTTCCAGTTTAAAGTATACAGTACCCAGATTTACGAACATTTAACAAACATTTTGTTTATTCAAATTAAAGAACTTAAAACTTAAGTCCTGGGCCTGTGCTTTCATAACTTTGCCATGAGTACAAAGGTACAATCTTTATTCCAAAATTGCTCATAAACACTCTAGAAGGCACAATTCTTGACTGATTTTGACGAAACTGATTATTTGTAATCAAGGAGGAACCCTATTGGTTCACATCTTCATTTTGACTTAAGCCATGATGGTGTTTCAAGAAGGGTTCTATTCATTTATCATCTAAGGTATATCAAAAAATGTTTTGAAAGACGGTTAATTTACAGCAAAATAACTTATTCAACTACATATATTTCAAAGAATTTACTGATAAAAGTTCATATGCCAGAATATAAATCAGAATATACCAGAAAGAAACAGAATTGTACAAGAATATGAAATTTATAAATCAATAAAACAAGACTACTCATATGATATCTCCACCATTGCTGCCATTTTAAAACCAGACTCCTGTAGTTTCAATTAGCTTCTTAGTTAGTTTTTATCTTTGCTGATATTTCATGTAAATATTCTTAATATCAAAATTTATCTTTCAAGTGAGCTGTGGTGGCTCAAGCAGGTGTATATGGTCACCAAGACCTTCAGAGCTTGATTCAGGCAAGGGTTGAGATTACACTAGGTCATTTTTCAACCCATATTCCCTCTTTGTGAGGAAGGTCTGACATAGAAAAAGCGAAAATGAAACGAAGCACTGTGCTAAATACTGTACACATGAAANAACCTTTGACTGTTGGTTAAAAAAAAGAGTAGTAAACAGTCCTCAGAAAATGTAAGAAAATCACATAATTCCTGTAAAAAATACTTCACGAGTATCTTAAATTGGCGAGTCGTCATTTTAAAATTCAATCGCGGTTAATTCTCTACACACATGGATTTGAAGGCTTAAATTTCGATGGTGAACTGTGAACATCATTACTGATTGGCTCAGCTATAAAAATTTCCTTTTTCTGAGACTTAAGTATAATTGGTAAAAAAAAATGGTGCACCTCACAATTAATTTTTTTGGGGCTTATCCATACCATATATAGAAACGTACAGGTAGATTTTAGATTTTGGTGTGGAGTTTCAAGCTATCTCTAAAGTTATGTGAATTCAAAGTGTGATTGGGTCAAAATGGTACACCTGTCCCTTTAATATACTATGGTATAACATTATCCATTATGTACCTTACTCTGATACAAGCCTAGCATCAACTACTCAACATAATCCACCATAAAAATTGCAAATATCACACTTAAAATTAAAACTCATGTGAATATTCTCTTAGGCCAGAACCAACTGATGCTGGTGTTTCTGAATTTCAATGAATGGAGCTTTACGTCCTACTTTTCTGACCCCTGTGGGCTAATGAAGACGAGCAATGCCATGCTGGGTGCAATGAAGACCTTAAGGTTAGCTAGCAAGCGTGTAACTCATTGAGGCACCATGACTCCCTCAGAATTTCAGACTACTCCAAATCAAAACTGAAGACAAACTCTACCTCAACCCCTAAGGCACCCATTTCTCAAAACATCCAAAGATAAAAATTGCAAATTACTCAGATGCAAGCTACTACAAATCATCTTATGATCAAAATTGCAAATCGCAAAAAAACCAAAATCGCAAGAAAAACCAATAGGTGATTTTTTTAGAAACAGGGGCCTTGTACCTGATTTTGATACTAGCACAGAACCTCTCATCCTATATGAACAGTTATTCCAATTAGATTCATTTCATTACTTATATGCACAGATTCCACTTTCTCCTACATTATATAAGCCTGGTACCACTGTATCTCCTCTGATATCCTGATGTCTTGGAGACTATATCTGCAAATACTTTTATATTCTTAGTTTTTGAATCTCCAACTTTGAAGCTTCACCACGGTCACATCACAATTATTTATTCCAATAATGATGTTTCAATTTCTATACATTTATCCCAAAATTTCTCTTTTGAAAAAACTTTACTATCCTATACCACTATCCTATTATTAATAATTGGTATCTAGATATTAGTTGGATAGTTCAGAATAGATAGTTAACTGTCCAAACTATTACAACTATTACAGTCTTGTCATATAGACATATATTTACTACTACATTGTTTAATCTAATATCAATGCATTTTAATTCATTTCTCAGGATAACTTGTTGATTCCAAGAGAAACACCTTTGTCTTGCATTCAGTTGTCCACTTTTAATACAACTTATCAAAAAAGGTTTTGTATTTCTTTCAGTTACTTATTGATATGATACGACTTGAACAAAAATAGAAAACAACAAAATGCTACGAAACATTTTCGCTAATTATGAACACAGAGCTGGTCTATGGAGTTCTTGTTCCAAGTTCCAAAATTTTGTTGTCCATCATTGAATACACAATCTTACTTATCCATATATCAACACAAATTACAATATATATTCCACAGCATATAAGAAGTTGTTCATCAGCACTATCATTGGTCCATATATTAGTCTTATTTAGGCTAATATCTACATAGTTGAAAATATCCTGTGGTTCATCCAAAATTGCTTTAACCAGGTTATACTACTATCGGCGTTGTCCATATATCAACCACTTTACAAGATCATTATATCAATATATCTGAATATATTCCAATATAGACAAACAGAAAGTCCCCGGACAGTTCTTCCTAGCTCAACCATTCAGAGTTCCACAGTTTAACATTGAGATCAACTCATGATATAGATAACTTGCGGAAAACATTCCAAATTACCAGTGTTTGTCCTACAGACCAATAATATCACACAAATCAATACTTTCTTCTCTAACTTGGCACCAAGAAAACTTTTAATTTCCCCAAATTGACCAGAAAACGTGTTACTGTTTGAATGGAACTACTGCTGGCTTTTAATGTAATATCATGTCACTTCCTATTTGTACTCTAACATCTTTTGAAAACTTGAAGAAGGCAGATCATTGCCAAGATTTAAAGTTGGATTGTATTTAAAATATTCAGTTTGGTTTTGTACCAGTTTTCTAGGTTCTTGTGCTGGGTATTTCATTAAACATGGAATATGTAATGCAAATTTGTGGTGAACAATTCTCCTATATTTTGTCATTTCTTTGGTGAATATCTGTCTAATGAGCAACTGTCCAGCGAACAACTGTATAATGAGCAAATCTCCAGTGAACACCTGTCTAATGAACAACTGTCTAATGAGCAAATGTCCAGTGAGCAAATGTCTAATGAGCAAATGTCCAGTGAATAACTGTCTAATGAGCAAATGTCCAGTGAACAACTGTCTAATGAGCAAATGTCCAGTGAACAACTGTCCAGTGAGCAAATGTCCAGTGAACAACTGTCTAATGACCAAATGTCCAGTGAACAACTGTCCAGTGAGCAAATTTCCAGTGAACAACTGTCTAATGAGCAAATGTCCAGTGAACAACTGTCTAATGACCAAATGTCCAGTGAACAACTGTCCGGTGAACAAATGTCCAGTGAACAACTGTCTAATGAGCAAATTTCCAGTGAACAACTGTCTAATGAGCAAATGTCCAGTGAACAATTGTCCAGTGATCAAATGTCCAGTGAACAACTGTCTACTGAGCAAATGTCCAGTGAACAACTGTCTAATGATCAAATTTCCAGTGAACAACTGTCTAATGAGCAATTGTCCGGTGAACAACCATCTCATGTTCACCTTTCCAATCATGCCCGATATGCTGTCAAGTTCTATGTGTATACATTCTTATTTGATATGCCCAGTATTGAGATACATCCAAGCAATACTTTAAACATATCTTGACATTCGTATTGCTATGTATCATTTCACTGATTCATTGATATAAATCATGCCAGCACTAACCCAAGTGTTTAAGACATGCTACAGAGCATGGAGGTCTAGATTTCAATCAAGGCATAGATCCATGTATTATTCATTATTTTGATAATACCTTCAGATTTTTCAACCCATTTTCCCCCTGCCGGTTATGCAGTCAAGAGGGACTGACGTGGGACTGACAAAGGCATCTAGTCATTCAGATGGGACAATAAATCGAGGCCCCATGTGCTACAGGCTGTGCATGTTAAAAATCCCTCGACAGTTGGAAATAGAAAAAGAGCAGGCTAATGCTGCTGTCCTGGCACAATTTCCCTCATTGTGTTGCATGGCGTTGCCCGTCTTCATTCCACATGGTCCAGAAAAATAGGATGTAAAACTCCATTCATTTCATTTCCACAACCCTTGTGTATATCACTCCATTTCGATTGAAACAGTCAGATAAAAACTCATTGTATCGTGCTTTATTATTCAGCAACTGCCTCCATCCTGAGAAATCTATTCATCAGAATCCTAATATACTATTTCAATAGCTATTCTAATTCACTATTTCCATGAGAAAAAACTTACACTATAGATAGTGTCCTTCATTTTCCTTTCATAGAGTTCCAGTCAGTTTCTAAAGTTATTAGCAACAAACAGAATGTAATATTACAGTTTTCAGCATGTGTCTGAAAACTATTGGGGATGGGGGGATGAATTCTTACTAAAAAATCAAACTGGTTATCCTTATCAAGTTACACTAGTGATCAATAGATAAATGTGACTTTTATTAGATATATTAGATGCAATGAGTTTTAACAAATCAAACCAAGGGGTTATCTGTATACACTCATATCTTTATTAGGTTTGGGCATGTATTCATAAGTCTATACTTTAGGGAGTTTTGAAAAGTCAAAGAGGTTCCCTAAATTATTTAAGTGGCATGGAATATTGCTTGACAAAAGCTATGATCTTGTTTTTCAAAATTTTGTCCAAGTCTACAAGTCCCTGATTACCAGACATGTCTAGCTCAAGCTGTAAAATATAGATTCCTCCCCCCTCTTCCCTATCCCCCTAAATAATTTTGTGGCCCCCCTCACCTGATGTTTCCTAGAAATACCACTGCCTGCTCAAATACCAATGTATGTTTAAAGATTTCAAGCAAAATGTCTCATACATATCCTTTGAGTATCAAAACTGAACCAAATCAGCCACAAGGGATTTAACTTGGTTCTTGTCCAGTAGACATTTTTGTTTTACTTTAGACAATTTAAATGAACCAGCTTCAAAAATGTCTAATCATGAAACCAGACATTTGATGTGAACAGTATTTGGGAAGTATTTGTTCCAAAATGGCCCCTTATCACATTGCTAGACCTCTGTTTGATAGCTAACCCACTATCTAATTGCAGGCCTCTTCAAAATAGCCACCCCAGTTTGATTACTGTTCCCTCTTATGTACTGCGATCATAATTCCTTATAATTCTGCTATATAATTGCCCATATTATGGATAAGTGTAATTCACATAATTATATAATAGAACAGCAATCCATCTTCAAAATATGGAAATAGAAAGAAAATATTAGTCTTATACAAGATATGATCAATCTTCTATCATATGGTTTCAGATAAAACATGAAATCTATTATATTCTTGACATATTTCATGTATACAGATTCTTCTCAAAGTATGGCTTCTCTTTCACTCCTTACTTAAGTTACTAGAGTAATACAGTACCACAATAAATACCATTAAATATGTGGACTCTCTTGATAAATTATTAGATATGTGGACTTTCTGAAACAATATTAGATATGTGGACTCTCTGATACATTTTTAGATATCTGGACTCTCTGAAACATTATTAGATATGTGGACTCTCTGATACATTTTTTAGATATCTGGACTCTCTGAAACATTATTAGATATGTGGACTCTCTGAAACATTATTAGATATGTGGACTCTCTGATACATTTTTAGATATCTGGACTCTCTGAAACATTATTAGATATGTGGACTCTCTGAAACATTATTAGATATGTGGACTCTCTGAAACATTTTTAGATATCTAGACTCTCTGAAACATAATCAGATATATGGACTCTCTAAGGCAATAATTAGATATATGGACTCTCTTGATAAATTATTAGATATGTGGACTTTCTGAAACAATATTAGATATGTGGACTCTCTGATACATTTTTTAGATATCTAGACTCTCTGAAACATATTAGATATGTGGACTCTCTGAAACATTATTAGATATGTGGACTCTCTGAAACATTTTTAGATATCTAGACTCTCTGAAACATAATCAGATATATGGACTCTCCAAGGCAATAATTAGATATATGGACTCTCTAAGGCAATATTAGATATCTGGACTCTCTTAGGCAATATTAGATATCTGGACTCTCTGAAACATCATTAGATATGTGGACTCTCTGAAACAATATTAGATATGTGGACTCTTTGAAACTTTATTAGATATGTGGACTCTCTGAAACATTATTAGATATCTGGACTCTCCAAATGGAATGTTGAGTTGAGAAACAATCTACCAAATTAACATTACTTGCTCGTAGTCTCTCTTAGATGGGAAGAAAATACAATACATGTCCTTGCATTCACTTTCCCTCATCGTAATAATATCAAGTTATTATGAACTTAGTACTTATACCTTGACTGCAATAGACACTATTCTTGTATCAGAATGCAGTGATTTGATTGGATTGTACGGCGGCAAATACAGCAAATCAGAACCCTTAACAGAAAGACTGAACAATATGGCTTTTTGTCAAGGTCACTGATTGGTTGTATTCACTAAGGGCCAATCCAATCAAATCTCTTCATTTACAAACAAATTTCTGATACAAGAAAGGTGGCTATTGCAGTCAAGGTATAAGACAAAGTGCATGATAGCTTGACATTGTGAAGATGAGTTTCCCTCTATTGAACATTACAAATTGTAAATTAATTCAGTAGCCATTAGCCTACGACTGAGACCTGGTAATATAACTAGATCAAATAACAAGTTGGAGGAAATAGTACTGTCCACACAGTTGTTGATGATTGTGATTTATTACCATTACATTATAGTAAGTCAACAAGTTATTGAGAATCTTGGGGAATGAATGGGAGTTTTATAACTTTCTATACCTAGTATCAGCAGGAGATGTCATGCAGTGTACAATGAGGGAAATTTTGAACAGAAGAGTTAGAGCCTATAGAAATAAAGTGAAAAGAAGTTTTACTTCATACTTTCAAGTCATTCAGAAAATGATATTAAATGGTCTTTCATGATCTTTGTATGTGTAATTATGCAATAGTCATACAGTGTACAATGAGGGAAATTTTGTACAGAAGAGTTATACCCTCGGAAATGAAGTGAAATGGAGTTCTTTATCTTACTTTTCTCCTAACAAGGCTTAGTAATATTTGATAGAATGCCATATGAATCGAGGGAAATTATGTGCAAAGAGTTGTATAGAATTCTGGGGGAAACCCCTCATAATTACATCATGGTTATTTGTGTTGGGGTTTTTACGGCAATAGAATTCCCATAAAACATTTAGGTCAGTTAGTATTAGTTTTCCAAAAAAAAAAAACCGACAATGAACGACTCATTACGATTTGTGTTAGGTAAAATGAGTGACCAATGAAAGGTATATTAGACTTGTTCTAAGGAGGCCCCAGTTAAACAAGGCGAAAAGAAAAAATGATTCTTACCTCCCAACACTGCCAGCAGTAAAAACAGATCCATGCCAACATTTTAAACATTATTCCCCAGCACTTCTCAACCCATTCACAAATAATACAACACATATTAAAAATTATCGGTATCTTCCAGGCTACTGTGGCTCACAAAAGGTTCAATATTGTTTCAAAATATCACTCTGAACTCACAAATTCAAAAATTAATGCTTATATGCTACTATAATTTGTTACGATATAATTCCTTTTGAAAGTGTGAAAAAACTCCAATTTCCAATATTTCAGTAAGAATCACTTCATTGTTGTTTTTAAAACACTTTGAATTAAATTGTTTCAATGTTGGTAACTTGTACAAATCTTGCAATTAAAGAAACCTGCATATAATACACATAATTAGTTGATATATCATTCAATCATTTATTGCAGGAATAGTAACTTTGAACTTGTGAATCCTATCTACCAGTTAGTCTCTGAACTGAAAAGTTTTGATATATGTAAACACCAATTAACTATCCATCACTAATCAAATTGATAAACTCTTGATTATTATATTCAATTTCAACAAAACTCTGTCCAAAATCCTCACTTTTTATCAACTTTTAGCAACACTTCAAAGGAATCTTGTCGAATCACTATCCAGTTTTATATATGAACTTCAATTTTGACAACAAAATCTCCAAATACGCTCTTTATAGGGAATTTTGCCCTCAATCACCGTCCAATTTTTCCTCTTGAAAAGTCCAGAGAACCTTTTTGAATGTTTTATTACTTTAGAGGTTTGGTCGGTTGAAGGGTAAAAAGTTACTATTTAACAGAAGGCACTGGCACAGGGTTAAAGCAGTGTCCACTTTTAAGTAAATGTTATTCTATCAAATACACATATTGATTAAAAATTGGGAATTAGAAAACCAGATGTTTGGAATCAAACCTGTCTTCGAGACTATTTGCACCTTCATTTTTATTTTCAAAACATTTCCTGATCAAAACTCCATCATAAAAACAGATGTCTTGAAATCCCTCGGGGAGAGTCAAATTAATAAACAGTTTTTAACATTCTTTAAACAATCTTTGATAAACTACTAAA